TTAGAGGTCATTAAAAATATAAGAAAGAAAAGACTAAAATAAGATGTTAGTAAAGATTCTGAAACTTACTCCAGAATGCAGAAAAGCTCAAGTGAATGGAAGAAATGATGACAGAGTTGATGATTAAAGAGCTAGAGAGAGATTTTTAATGGGTGATTTGAGAAGACAAAACATTATAGTGAAAGGTGCAAAGAAAGAACATATTCTGCATTGACTAAAGAAAACTCAGTCTGAGAGTTGTAATACTGAAGGGAAAATGCTCAATAATATTTCTTTCTCTTATTTCTATCCAGCTAGAAATTACTCACAGATCTCTCTCCAGCAGGTTTTCTAAAGCTACAAAATGAAAGGGAGAAGACTTCTCATCTTTAGCATTCAAGGGTACTAGTGGATTTGAACAAGCCGAGAGGTGTCACCTTTAGGTTAGCAGCACAACTCCCTAAAGACTAGGTTCCCAGAGACCCCTTGCAATGACTGCTGTTAGGTATCATCGTGGTAATCACAATTCAATAAGCAGCCTAGGAAGAACAGATCTGAACCCTGCCCTATTCTCGCCATCTCTTACATACTTGAGCCCATTACTACCGTCACTGTGTTAATCCATTTTGTAGGAGGCATTAAAAGATGGAAGAATAAAGCATTCCTGTAACAGAAAGAAATGGTCAACAGTGAAACATTTCAGGAGGTAGCACATGATCAAGAACCATTGGTACTGAAGAAGGAAGTCCAGGCCTCACTAAAGGTATTGGAGAGAAATAAGGTCCCAGAAATATGTGGCCATTTGAAAGAAAGGTGATCCGATAATGCATACTGATGCAAATCTGTATGATTCATAACAATTATGGGTAACACTACAAAAGATTGTGAATTAAAAACACATAATTGTGTTCAGTTGGAACCTGTTCAGAGACCAAAAGTTGTTAGACCAAAACAAAGTCGCATGGTTTAAAATCAAGAAAGGAATGTATCAGGGTTTTATCTTGCTGTACACGTATTTAATCTGTATGCTGAACAAATAATTGGAGACACTGGACTACATAGCATCAAAGAGAAGGAAGAGTCTTTTGCAACCCACAATATTCAAGTGACAAAAGTTTGTTTAAAGAAAACAAGACTTGATGCACTTATAGATGACATTTAAAGAGTACAGCCTTCAGCATGGATTACCCTTCAATGTAAACAAAGAACAAAGAATTCTCAAATCTGGACCCATAAGTAACACTATGATAAAAGAAAAGATAGACACAAAGTTAAGGATTTAATTTTACTTGGACCTACAATCAATGCTCATGGAACATGCAGTCAAGAAATCAAATGAAATAGGCAAATGTGCTGTAAGGTACTTCTAAGGTGATAAAGAACAAGGATATCACTTTGAGAACCTAGGTGTGCATGGCCAAGCAAGTACTTTGAATTGCCTCATATGCATGTCAAAGTTGGACAATGAATAAAGAATATCAAATAACTGATGCCTGGAAATTGAAGTCTTGGCAAAGAGTATTACATATATCAAGAATTGTCTTTAAAAAAACTAAACAAATCTCAAATCTGTCTTAAAAGAAATGCAGCCAGATGCTCCTAAAAAAAGCAAAGATGGTGCGACTTTGTCGCACATACTTTGTGCATATTATCAGGAAGAGCAAGCTCCTGGATCAAGACATCAAGTTTGGAAAGAGGAGTTTCCATAAAAAAAGAGGAAGATCCTCAGTAAGATGGACTGATACAATATCGGATTGACAAGAGGACAGACTGTGAGGATAGTATACAATCAGGCAGTGTTTTCTGGTCTGTTGTACGTAGGGTTGCTATGACTCAGAGCTGACTTGATGGTGTCTAATAACAACAAAAAGAAGAGCAGTTATGAGGAGATGTGACAATATATATAAAGCACCTAGCACGTTGTCGAGCGCAGGGCAGGTGACAGGGAGAACAAAGGTGGCAGGTGGAACCAACTCCTGATCAGCCTCCACAGTGGAAAGGTACCTTTTAGGCAAAAAGCTTACCTGTCAAATACTGCTCTAGAATAAAGCATCCAAATTAAGGCAGACTAGGGAGCAGGACTGGCTATCCACTTCTGAAATTACAGGCCTCAGAAAACCCTATCTATGTAGGTAGCACAATGTCTAAATAAACAAGTCAAAAAGGATAGCTAATTATCTCTAAGAATGCACATGGAGGGCAACTAAATTCATGTTTTTAAAAACTCATATACAGAAACTAAATCCTAACATGGATATAAGTAGATTAGTTACAAGCATTTTAAATTTGAGAAGCTATTGTCTATATAAGTAGAGATGTTATCAGGCAGTTACATCTATGAATCTAGAGTTCAGAGGAGAGGTGTGGAATTGAGATAAAACTTGTGGAACTCAGAATGTATTTAACGCTATGAAACTAGGTGAGCTCACCAAGGGAATTAAATGTAGATAGGAGAAAAAAGAGACTCAAGGACAGAGGACAGAGGCCTAGAATAAGACATTTATTCAACAAAGGGAAAATGCAGCAGGCCAATGAGAGGTGACTCCTGTCCTCACCATGCACCAGTGTCTGTGAACATCTTCATTCAATTAGACAACAATGGCAGCACACAGTCAATTCCAGACCAAGTTTCCTCCAGAGCAGGCAAAACGGACTGATAGATAGCAGTTTGAAAATTTTTCAACTCTATTTTTAGTCTGAACTCTAAAGAACCTTTATGTAGAAGCAGAGATGCTTGGGGGTCAAATATATTGAAGGTTGTTTGGTTTGTTTAATAGCATGCATTATCTTTTATGCACAGAAACTCAGTATGAGAAAGTTCTAAAGAAAGCCTCTAAATACGTTCAAGAGCAGAATGAGAAGACGTATGTATTTTCCTCTAAGGCCTCTTTCTTACAGGTACCACTGCTAGATGACTTCAAGTTACTGAAATTACCATTTACGAAGATAGAGTCAGGAGTAGTGGAAAATAAACCTTAGAGTTAACTATCCCGCCTCAAGCTGAGACTCTAATCAATCCATTGGCTAACTGCAGTGTCTTCCACTTCCTCTCCAGAGTCATAGTGCCATTACTTCAAGGACTAAACTCTCTAAAATTCTGTACATAGGGTGACCCATAGCGTGCTCAGCATCTACTCTGTGTATGATCTTTTGCTGAGTTTCTGAGAAAACACAATGAAGCATTTAACTTCTTTAGTCAAAGATGTTTGATAAAATATGCAGTTGGTCAATTTGATGCAAAATTACTTTTAATCTGCTACACCATTGGGTTCCTTTTGTTCCTTGGGCTAGATTCCCGGGAGATCTCAGATTTTAACAAGTCTTCGTTTAGTCAGTGTTCAGTCTTATTCTCTTAACTTTACAAAATGCTATTTTCCCCTCAGGACTTTGGTAAGGGGTAGGCTGTATCCATAATTTACCTGATATATCTTCCAGATCTCAAGTAACTACCAGCTTGCCATTGCTCAGATCTTAAAAAGATCTGTTTCTCTTGTTTAATTTCTCCAACAAGCTCACTGGGACAACAACGTATATTGCTATTTAATACAGAAGTAATTATTCCTAATTAAGCCGGTATTTAAAGCTTTTAAAATTTCCTTAGGATTGCATTACTAGAAACATTGGGAAAATATGTGTTGCTTGTTCAGTACAAAACAATTAAGCACAAAAAAGTACATGCTAAAAAACCAAACACATAAATGTCCCTAATATGTTAAGTATAATAAATATTTTATAGTTTTGCTATAAACATATTTCATAGGAATTTATATATTGCTAATTTTCAACCATCTTTACCCAAGCAACAAGAGAAGGTGTTTAAGCATAAACGCAATTAGGTGAACAGATGCTATGGAGGGAGCTTACAGAAATTTCCCTTCTGACTACTTCATTTCATAAAAGAAATGAGAAGAAAATTCATCAACTGATAATGATGGGGCAGAAGGTATCATAGGTTGTAAGAGAAAGGATAAAGTATGAAATAATCGTCTAAGAGACTGAATGGATTAAAGAAACACACAACCAGTCTCTGGGTTATGAACAAGACTTGACTGAAGTGTGCTTTTTCATAGCATTTGTAGGGAATTCTTACCCTGCTATAAGAACAAAGAGCTGTATTGGTGTTGTGCACTACGTATTGTGCTGCAAATAGTTCTACTTCACCATTGGATCCTCAGGAGAAAGACAGGCCCTGTCTGCTCTTACAAAGATTTACAGCCTCAGAAACTCAACAGAGTCACTAAGAGTTGGAAACAACCTGACAACAGTGAGTAAATGGTTGTCAAATATGTACAATAAAAGGAGATAAAAAAAGGAATAAAGGTATATGCAAGAATGTGAGGCACTCTGGGGAAGATAGAATATTAAAAGGTTAGAAAGAGGGGCACAATAAGATGTTTACAACCAATACTGTCATATGCTTACAAATTACAGCATAAACGCAGATCACTTAAATGCCTATATTTAATAAAAGAAGCCAATGTAGTGCAGAAGTAAAATGTCAGATATGAATGTCAGGGGAGTTGGATGACAGAAAATAGCTAGGAAACTCCTCAATTATTTCTAAATAATTTATAAAAAAACTAATTCTAATTTTTCTAAGGAAAATTACAATTTGAGGAATGAAAAAAGAGCTGCAAACTGGTTGAGAAACCAATTTTTAAAAAGATACCACTCTACCCCTTAAAGTCAATACTAACCATTTCCTTACATAAAAATAAAAATTTTAAGGAAAAAACCACACCCTTCATTTTTAAATACTTCACAGCAAACAATAACTCAAATACGTATATTCTTTAATTGCTTTCAAAATTCACCTATAAACATAACTTTACACTCAATCTGTAAAACCCAGTCTGAAAAGTAATACAATTAAAATGATACATTAGATTAGCCTGGAAAAACGAGTCTCGGTTTTGATTCTAACATGAAAAAATTAACCACAAACTTCTTTCAAAATTTACTAATCTCATATATGGTTTTAACTAGATTAAATGATAGCAACAATTATTTTCTTTACTCACCTCCTTAATAGCATCCTCATTAGGAAGCATGGAACATAAACATGTGATATAGGCTTGCTGAAAAGATGACACATTGGCGATTTCTTTAGATTCTGCACATAGTTTTGATAAAGCAGTAGCCTGGGGCACACAGTTGGATTTCAACAAATGTTTTATTCGCATCTGCAGGAAGGAAGGTCCTTCTTGTGCAATCAATTTATTCACTAGAAAACAGAAAAAAACAAAATAACTTGATAGCATACTATGTAACATATCAGGTTTGTTAAGATAATAACAGGATATATTAGGCTTTTAGGGGGGTTTGTTGCTGGTTTAGTTTTTACTTAATAAAATAGCAGTTGATACAATTTGATAGTTTATTCAGGTCTCAAAAGTCAAACAACAGAAAAAAGAACATAAATAATTTCACTCTTCATAACATTTACCATTCCCACATTAACAGTCTTATTCTGACCATAAACCCTTCCAATAAAGGGAGTACTATTTGACCAAAATAATTTGATCACCTTCTCCCTCACTGTCTGATGGTAGTTAGGAATAATGAAATGAACTAAACCATAAATACAGAAAGAAACAAGTAACCTACATAATACTAACCATCATCACTTGAATGTTTATGAAGAACCAATCTTTAAATTGTTTTATATACCTCTCATTTACCTTCACACCACCACCAAGGCAAGTTTAAGATTAGGGAAAATAATATTTATAGAGAAGTTAGGTAACTAGCCAAGGATTCCAAATTCAGTGGTGCTCTTTCGTCTAAATCAGATATTTCTCAAAGTGTTTCCACCGACCAAAAGACCTGAGAGAAAGTCCTAGAAAAAAAAGAGGATTCCTTGATCAAATCTCTGAACAGCCCCGCAATAAAGAAAACTGTTCACTTTTAGGTAACTCAATGTTTCCCAAATGGATTTGACCAGAGAAGTGTATATTCCTGGTTCAGTATACACTTTGAGAAATGTTTCCCTGAACAATATTGAAAATTACAGATACATGATAGCAATTATTACATAATCGATCTTAAAAATTAGAGGTGGGAACATTGCATGTCAATCCAAGTGATGATGGATAAACTAGTTTAGGGAGCTACAAATGTAAACATATTCTCCAGCATTAAAGCGCCTTATGAATCACCTAGGTATCTTATCACATTGAGAAAGTCTTCCGCAAAAGATCTCTCTAAAGTATTAAGAGGTCATCAGTTTAAAGATAAAGTTGTACCTGACCCAAGCCATGACATTCTTAAATGCTTTTCAAGCATGTCAAAGTTGGATAATAAATAAGGAAGACTAAGGAACTTATGCCCTTGAATTGTGGTGTTGGTAAAGAGATGAACTGTGGAGTCAAAACCGACCCATAACTGACCCTCCAGCGGGTTTTCAGAGGTTGTTAATCAGACAGGAGGAGACTGCCCATCCTTCTCCCACAGAGCAGCTGGTAGATTCAAACTGTGTGCCTACAGGTTTGCAGCACAGCTTCTTGGCACTAGGCCACTAGTGCTCCCTAAAGAATAGTGAATATACTGTGAACTGCCAAATGAACAAACAAATCTATCTTGTAGAAAGTACAACCAGGGTGTTCCTCAACTGCAAAGATGGTGTAACTTCATTTCACGTACATGCTGTCAAGAGATACCGGTCCTTGGAGAAGATACCATGCCTGGAGATGTAGTGAGGCCAGCGAAAAAAGAGGAAGACCCTCAACAAGGCAAACTGACAATGTGACTGCGATGGGCATGGCAGAGATCAGAAGATGGCACAGGAAAGGGCAAATTGATCGTTAAGAGACGTAGTGGACTAGATGGCATATAACAATATATTCCGGAAACTCTATGCATGAACAGTGCTCAGGCCTTTCGTTCACAGGGTCGCTATGAGTCGTCTACAACTTGATGGCACCTAACAACAATGACAACGACAACACAGAGAGGGCTACGTTGGCCTAGTGGACAGAATATTATGTTACCTAGCCCAAGGTGGGTGATTTTAATCTGCGGCCCTCAGGCCAGATTCAAATTGTTTTCCTGTCAAATATTCTTCTAGGTGGTATAACACTGGTCTGTGCATTGCTGTACAGAGGTAACTCGTGGTTGCTGTGATGCTCAACACTGTGACACTGGTGTGCCAAACATGGTAATGGTCATCCATGGTGGACAGTGTTTGCTGGAGCTTCCCGACTAAAACAAGCCTGGAAGCAGGAGTGGCATCCACTTCTGAAATGGCTTGCCTTCAGAAACTCTATGTATGAACAGTGCTCAGGCCATTCATTCAAAAAGGGTCACTATGTGTTGTCTCTAACTTGATGGCACCTAACAACAACAACAACAAGAAGTAATGATGTCACTTTGAGAACTAAGGTGCTTCTGACCGAAGTCATGATATTTTCAATTACCATGGATGCATGAGAATAAGGAAAATCACAAGGAACTGATTAATTCCATCATGGATTTGGCAAAGAATATCAAATAGACCACAGACTGCCCGGAGAATGAGCAAATCCATCTAGGAGGAAAGATAATCATAATGCTGCTTAGAAATGTAGATGACAAGACTTTGCCTCATATATTCTGGACATGTTATCAAGAGAAGACTCATCTCCGGAGGACAGCATACAGAGCCAAGCAGAGTTTCCATGAAAAGAGGAAGACACTCAATGAGATGGATTCACAGAATGGCTGCAATAATGAGCTCAGCAACAGAATGTGAAGATGGTAGAGGACTTGGTAATGTTTTGTTAAACACAGTCATTCTAAGTAAGAATGGACTCAAAAGCACCTAACAAAACAAGCTCCCAGGTAGTATCTATTAAATCTGTAGGCCACATACAGAGTGATAAAGATCAACTGAGCAGATAAAGTACTTACAAGCCTAATCTTAACTACACAGCACAGTCAACTCTAGAATTACTACTGCCAGGGTTCCTTAATATACCATAATGATCTTGTAATTAGAGTATTATGGATTTTTAAAAATTTAAATTAAATAATGCTATAATTTATAACCTATACAAACTCAAACTCATTGCTGTCAAGTCAGAACTGACTTACAGCTGACCTTCCAGCAGGTTTTTGGGGGGCTGTAAATCTCAAGGCGGGTGATCATGCATCTTTCTCCCTCAGAACCGTTTGTAGATTCAAACCATCAAGAGAGGTACCACCTTTGGGCTTGCAGTGCCACTTTCTACGGGCACCAGAGTTTTCTATAAAAGGGCATGATTTCCTAGAAGTAGACTGAAGAATGAAAAGACTGTTCATTTGTAATACTGACACTACAAAATCGCACTCCAAAGACTGTATCAATGTATAATACCACCAACATTGGGTAAGGGACCCATTTTCTATGGCACTCTTAAGAAGTAGTGGATCCTAAAGCCAGAAACCTAGAGATTTGATTTAACAGATCTGAGACAGACACTAGACTTCATATGTGTTGTGCTTTGCTTTTCCTAAAACTCCATAAAAATGTAATCTAATAAAGAATCATGGTAAAAAGTGGTGCCGCCAACCGAAAAGTACAAGAGAAAGAAGGGCCATCACCTCCTATAAGATTTACAGCCTCTGTCTGAAAACCGCTCAGAGGTCAGCTGTGGGTCAGTTTCAACTCAATGGCACATAGTAACAACAAATATATAATAATCAAAGGAGTTTTGGTGGCCCATGTCCATATGGAATTGTGCTGGTAACCCAGAGATCACATCTTTCTAACAGTTTTAATTCACCAGTGGCTATGAGGGAGAAAGATGGTTAATCCTGGGAAACTCAAGAGGGCCAGTAACCTTGATTACATATTCTCACTGCAATCTTAGCCACCATACCCTTTTCTAAAGCCTTGCAGGAACATTTTACTTCTTTCATCACAATTAAGCTTATGGGTTTTTTAAAATTTAGGGATTACAGTAAGAGGTTATAACATAAAAGCTGAGAGTCAGGTTTTAGAATCACAGGTTTTGGGTTGAATCTTGTCTGACACATCCCAGTGGTAAGATACCTGAACAAGTTAACTGACTTCTCTGGGTCTGTTTTCCAGTCAAAAGAATTATAAACAAAATATGTTAACACAACACAGCATGAGGCTAGGCACAAAATGAGATGTTAAATCCCTGTGGCTATACCTTTTGTCTCTTTTTACCTCCCTTACTAATTAGACTGTCAGTAAATTATGTGCAATAACCATGCCATGTTCACGTCTGTATTCATTACAGCACTAAGCAGCATGAAACCTTACATAACCAAAAATCTGTGAAAGCTGGAAACCTGTCAGAGAAGAAAGACTCAATACATAGAACACCAGGAAAGTAGTAAGACAGAAAATTCAAAGACCTGGAAAACCAAGGCAGTTTTGTCAAGCTGAAACTCTCACAGGTCTCACTGTATATTCAAAGAAAGTAAAAGTCACTATGGTGAAGGCAGAAGCAACTCAGTGCTGGAAGACTGTCCAGCTGCTGATAAGTATGCCTTTTAGATTAGCAATACAACTCCCTACAGACTACACATTTAGTAATTGAATGGTTTAACTAAACACACACTTTTAACATGCCCCTACTTGGGCTAAAATTCTGCTTCTACAATTTTAACTAAGTAGTGTACATGTGAACATATTGAGATTGTTTCGTTTGCTTGGCTCCACAACTAACTCTCTTAGTATGAGCAGCCAGGAAATTTAAAAGACGAACTGCATTGGGAAAGTTTCCTGTCAGAGACCTCTCCAAAGTACTGAAGAGGAATAATATCAGTCTGGAGACTACAATGCACTTGATCCAGGCCATAGTCTTTTCAACTTGCTATGCATCAGAAAGCTAGACAATGAACAGGGATGATAGGAGAAGTGATTCCTTTGAGTTGTCATGCTGAAGAAGAATACGGAATATACCATTGACTGCTAGGAGAACAAACAGGTTCATTTCACACAGGGTGAGACCAGGTTGCTCCTTGGAGGCAAGGATTCTGAAGCTTTGCCTAACATACTTTGGAAATGTTGAAAGGGGTATCAGTCCTTGGAAAGGGATGTCATGCTTGGAAGGGTGGAGAGATAGCCAAAAGACGACGACCCTGGATGAGATGGATTGATTCAGTGACTGAAGTAATGGGGGTAGGTGTGTCAAGAGACAGTAAGATTGGCACATTATAGAGCAGGGTTTTGGGCTGTTGCATGCAGGGTTGCTATGAGTCACAGGCAACTCAATGCACATAACCACCAACAAAGTACTTAAGTAAGCACTCATTTGTTTTAGGAATGAATAATAAATGTGTACAGTATTAGTATAGTGATCAGCACACAGTACAAAAGAGACCTAAACATTACTTAAAAACCCATGAATCCTTGTTGTTGTTACATGCTGGTGAGCTGGAATAAACTCATAGCTGACCCTCAGTTGGTTTTCTGAAGCTGTATATCACAGAGAGAGAAACTGTTCATCTTTGTCTTACAGAGCAGCTGGTGGATTCAACTACTCATCTTTGGACTGGTAGTGCAACCAACATCTTACCACTAGGCCACCAGAATGTGCCCTTAAGAATTCTTAAGTGAAATATTAAGTACTAATAGCTAACTTTTACTACTCAATGGAAAATAGAATAATTGTGTAAAATTAAACCTTTTTAGAATTAAATGAAGACAGGGCCAGGCTCAGCTTTGATGTTCATGGGGTCCCTATGAGTCATAGTTAACTTGAAGGCATCTAACAATAGCTAAGTCAGTAAAGTTTTAAAGCTTACCTTCTTCTGTTTCTACTGGTTGCTGAGACAGAATTTTAAGGAGAATTGGATTTTTCCACATCCCTTCCTTGGTAACATGAACCAATATTTGTAGGTTATTGTTTCCAAACTCCAATAATGCATCATGTGACTCCTTTAAAAAAATATTAATAATTAATGTGAACATAGTTTTCCCCTTTTAATACATCTGAACAGCTAAGAATTGAAAGGACTATGAATGAAAGGAAAAGGGAAAAAAAAAAGACCACCCTCAAAGCCTCTCGTAATCTGAAGATTTTAAGGAAACTAGGGTGTTTTCACTAAATTATATGGTACTTTAAGACATACTCCTGAATTCCTCAAAGATCTTATCAAAGTTCAGTTTGGTTCCTTATGTTATCATTGGATATTCAATAAGTTAAAATATGTATCACCTACATTCATTCAGGTGAAATGTATAATAATACATGCAATATCACTAAGATTTTGATAGCTTTATTCTATTTATAAGTTAAGTTTTAGAAGAAGAAAAATTTCTGTTGATTTCAGAGGAATGTAAAAGTAAAAAATAAAATTAGTAACTGTAAGGGGGGAAAAAACAAACCCTATTTTTAACACAATCAGGTAGACTTTTCCCCTCACTCAAGGAATTTACTACCAATATATAATTAAAAAGTTGCCACTCGCCAGTCAGTTTGTTATACTGTGGTGGCTTATGTGCTACAATGATGCCAGAAGCATGCCAATAGTATAACAAATTCCAGCAGGATTGTTCATGATGGACAAGTTTTAGTGGCGCTTCCAGACTAAGACAGATTAGGAAATAGGACCTGGCAATCTATTCCTGAAAAAAAAACCAGTTAACAAATACTTTATGAGTAGCACAGGGAAACAGTCTGATACAGTACAGAAAGATAAGCTACTTAGATGGAAGGCATGAAAACTATGACTAGGCGGACTCCTCAAAGTGGAGTTCACCTTAATAGCAGATGGAGTAAAATTTTCCAGGACCTCTAGTTACTGATATGGTCCCAAACAAAATGAGAGGGCACTGCTGCAAACTTCCACTGATAATACAAAAATGGAACAAACTATAAATGGAGGAAAACGGGAAATACAAAAGATGAAATAAAGAACATGAAAGTTATTTTAAAAAATGTATGAACAAAGCATTAGTAAGCTAAAAGGAAGTGGTATTCGCCTTCTGAATTAGACAATCATATAGTCTACTATATTACGAATAACAAAGAAGAATGGTGTCATGATTCCCATCAAAAGGAACATTTTGGGATTTACCCTGAAGCACAATTCTGTCAGCAGTAGGATAAAACCCTATGATTACAAGCAAAACAAGTTAATACAACTGTCATTCAAATTGATACATCAACCCCCAAATACCAACAATGAAGACACTCAAGATTTTTATGAATTTCTGTAGTTTGATAATGATCAAACACGCGATGAAGATGCATTGATAATTACTGGACTACAAAAAGATGGAAACAAAGAAGACTGATTAAGAGAGGAAAATATGGCTTTGCTGACAGAAATGACTGTGAAGATCCTATGACAGAATTTTGCAAAACCAAGAACTTAGTCACTGCAAATACCTTTTTCCACAAAATAAATTATAAACAAGAACTTCACCAGGTGAAATATACAGGAATCAACTACATCTATGGAAAGACATAATGGTGGAGAAGCTCATTATCATTCAGAACAGACCACCAAATGCTCATATGCTAGTACAAACTGAAGTTGAAGAAAATGAAAATACAACTTTGAGCATATTCCACCTGAATTTAGAGACCATCTCAATAAGAGATTAGACACACAGAATAGTAATCATCAAAGACCAGATAAACTGTGAGATGACATAAGGACAATTATTACACATGAAGAAAGTAAAAGGTGCTTTTAAAGCCAGGAAAGAGAGAGAAGACCAAAATGGATTTTACTCTTAAGTTTCCTCATTAATGTAAAAGTAGCTTAAATTAAGGAGGAAAAAAAGATTAAATAAAAAAGCCAAACAGAAGATTTTAAAAAGTGGCTTGAAGGAAGCTCTGGTGGCGTAGTGGCAAGAAGCGGCACTGCAATCTCAGTGATGTGTGGTTCAAATCCACCAGATGCTCTGCTGCAGAAGGAGGGAGCCCGGTACACACAAACACACACACACACACACACACACACACACACACACACACACACACACACTAAAAATGAAATAAATTTTTTTTTAAAAAAAAGGTGTCTTAAAAGACAAAGAACAAAGACCTAGACTTAGAAAACCAAAAGAGAAGAACAAGCTTTAGACATTTTTCAAGCTTACAAGAAATGAAGGGGGAAAAGTATCCTTGAGTTACAACATTTAAGAAACTATAGGTTAAAATAAGAGTGGCCTAGTGGTAAGAAGCTGTGCGGCAATCCCAAAGACGTGATTTGAATCCACCAGTTGTTCTGTGGGATGGCATTCTCCTTTCACGCAATTTATTGTCTCTGAAAACCTGCTGGAAAGTCAGCCAGGTTCTGACTTGAAAGCACACAATAGCAACAACGTGTAAACAGAAAGACAGAGAAAGCATCAAAAGACAGCATGAACGTATTGAGGCAATGACCAAAAAGAACTGGTTGAGATTCAACCATTTCAAAGGCACAATAAGATCAAGAACCAATGGTCTTGAAGGAAGAAGCTCAAGCTGTACTAAAGGCACAGGCAGAAATACAAGGCTACAGAAAGTGACAGAATACCAATGGAAATGTTACAAAGAGCAAATGCAACTCTGGAAGCCCTCACTTATCTATGCCAAGAAATTTGAAGAAATGGCCAACTAACTGGAAGAGATACATATATGTGTCCTCCTCAAAGAAAGGTGATCCAAAAGAATGCATAAATTATCAAACAATAATATTAGCAAGTAAACTTTGGCAAGATAATTAAAACAATTGTAGTGGAACATCAGGGAACTGTGAAAAATTCAAACCTGATTCAAGAGAAGATGTGAAAAGAGGAACATTAATGTTGATGTCAGGTCAACCTGAAAACAGAAAATATCAGAAAGATTTTTACCTGTTTTACTGATTACAAAAAGGCATTCAATTGTGTGGGTCATATGAAATCATGGATAACACCACAAAGATAGAGAATTCCAGAACACTTAATTGTGTGCAAATGAAACCTGCAGACCAGAAGCACTAGATCACACAGAACAAGGGAATGCTGTGTGGTTTAAAATCAGGGAAGATGTGCATTAGGGTTATACCCTTTCACCAGACTTAAGTCTGTATATGGTACAAACAATATGAGAAACTGGACTATATAAAAAATGCAGCAGCAGGACTGGAGGAATAATAACCAACAATCTGTAATGTGCAGATGATGCAAACTTGCTTACTAAAGTAACAAGGACATGAAGTACTTACTAATGAAAATCATAGACTACAGCCTTCAGAATGAATTATACTTCAACATAAAGAACGTAAAAATCCTATAACAACTGGACCTATAAGCAACAACATGATAAAGACAGTAAGACTAAAGTTGGTAAGGATTTCGGTTTATTTAGATTGACCGTCAACACCCAGGTAAATAGCAGTCAAGAAATCAAATAAGCATTTTGCACTGAGCAAATGCTACAAAACTCTTCTTTCAAACTGTTAAGAAGCAAAGATGTTGCTCTGTGGACTAAGTTGGGCCTGACTCGAGCCATGTCCTTTTTAATTACCTCAAATATATGACAAAGCAGGGTAATGAAAAAAGATCAAAGAAGTATCAATGCATTTATATGATGGTACTGGTGGGAAAACTGTAGGATGAGCTTTCCTCTCACATAACTTTGAACATGCTATCAGAAAAGCAGGACCAATTCATTGAGAAGGGAATCGTGATTGGTAGTCAAAATCTATTCAATGACAACTAACAACATACAACAAAGTCTACAGTTTGAACTCACCCAGAAGCACCAGAGGAGAAAGAACCAGTAATGTTTTCCCATACAGCCTAGAAAACCTTAGGTTTACTGTCACATGGAGTTGCTACAAGTAAAAAATCGGCTCAACAATATCAAATAACAAAATTATTTTTATTATAAATTTCACCTATCATTTTCTCATAGAAACTAATGCAGTATCGTGAAACCCTGCTAGCAAAAGTCAGCTCACCTGAAGACTCTGAAGGAAAGGTACCCAGATTTCACACGGCAGTTCACTTTCAGATACTGGAAGCAGCAATTCGAAACAACTCCTACAATATAAATAAGTAAATATATGAAGACAGCATCATGAATATGACAGCAATAATGAATATGCATTTTATACTACTTCATTTGCTTATACTATTTCGTATTTCATTTTACTTTAACTCTTCAAAATTTTTCCTCAATATTATAATACTGGCTTTTCTATGTTAAAAAAAGACAGGAATTTTTTTGTGAGTCTTAATATTTATGTTAGCATTTTAATACACTTGGTAATATTCTAAGCCTTTTACAGAATAATTAAAAAATCATTTAGATAATTTGGTGAGGAAGTATGCATATGGAAACAATTATAATTCCCAATAGTAACAAATCTATGCAATTGCTATAAAGGTTTCTGACAACTGCCAAAGTAGAAAAGATTAGCAAAGGCATTTACCTCTAATAATTAAGCAATGAAGAGTTTTTATTGAAACTATTACATACAAGGCACAGAAACAAGAGTATTAAAAGGGGGGTGGGGGGGAGGAGAAAGAAAACCTGAACAACCTAAATTATGACCAAGTCAAAATACTAATAATTGACCAATACCTTTCTATAATCTTGTAGAGTATCAGTTTATTCCTTTAATTTAGGGAACAGAGAAAAGTGGTATCTGGCAGGAGGAACAATGGGATTATAAAGCCAGGGATGACTGATTTCCACACAGCTAAAGAATTAGAGCTCTGGTGACCTAGTGGTAGGTTGAGTTGTACTGCCAACTCAAAGGCACCTGGTTCAAATCCACCAGTTGCCCTGTGGGTCAAAGATGGGCAATCTTCTCCTGTGTGATTTAATGCCTTTGAAAACCTGCTGGAGGTTCACCTATGAGTTGATTCCTATTTGATGGTACTCAACAACAATAACATGGAACCAGACGTTTGTGGCTTTGAAGAATAGTACAGGAACTAGTGAGGTCTGAGAAAAAAAAGAAGTAAAACTATTCTAATGATGCCTCACCAAACACTCTATAAAATCTAACAGCGATTTCCAGGTAAAAGTTAATAACTGGGTGTTTTTTCCTATGGTGATGAAGGAAGAAGTTCAAGCTGCTTTCAAGGAAATAGCTAAAAATAAGGCCCCAGAATAGACGGTATACCAACTGACGTATTTCAGCTAACAGATGCTGCCCTGGATGTGCTCACCAAGTTGTGCCAAGAAATCTGGAGAACAAGCACTTGGCCAACTGACTGGAAGAGATCCCTATTTGTTTCCATTCCCAAGAAGGGTGACCTGACAGAGTGTGCAACCTATAGAATAATATCACTGATTTCACTTGTAAGCAAGATTCTACTGAGGATTATCCAAAAATGGCTGGAACAGCACATCAGCAGAGAACTGCCAGAAGTCCAGGCTGGGTTTAGAAGGAGTCTTGGTACTAGGGATATTGTTGCTGATATTAGATGGATCTTAGCTGAAAGCAGGGAATAGCAGAAGAATGTCTATCTGTGTTTCACTGATTATGCAAAGGCGTTTGACTGTGTGGATCATAAACTGTGGTTGACTCTAAGAACAGGAATCCCAGAACACTTGATCATTCTAAGGCGAAACCTATACTTGGACCAAGAGGCAGTCATCAGAACAGAGCAAGGGAACACTACATGGTTCAAAATTGGGAAAGGTGTACGCCAGGAATGTGTCCTGTCTCCATACCTTTTCAACCTGTATGCAGAACAGATTATCTGGGAGGCTGGGCTCTATGAGAAGAAGTGCGACGTCAGGATTGGTGGAAGGTCTATTAACAATCTGCATTATGCAGATGACACAACCCTGGTTGCTGAAACTGAGGAGGACCTGAAATGCTTGCTGCAGAGGGTCAAGGACTGCAGCCTTCAGTATGGATCGAGGCACAATGTCAAGAAGACAAAGATTCTCACCACTGGACCATCTGGCAGAATCAGGATGGATGGTGAAGAGATTGAAATTGTTAACAACTTTAGTCTGCTTGGCTCCACAGTCAACACTCTTGGCACCAGTAGCCAGGAAATCAAAAAACGTATTACGATGGGAAAGTCTGCTGTGAGGGACCTCTTCAGGGTACTGAAGAGCAGTGGTGTCACTCTGGAGATCAAGGTGCATCTGATACAGGCTATAGTCTTTGCAATCACTTGTTACCCATCAGAGAGCTGGACAATGACTAGGAAGGACAGAAGGAGAATTGATGCCTTTTTGAGCTGTGGTGCTGGAGAAGAGTACTGAATGTACCATGGACTGCCAAGGAAACAAACCGATTCACCCTGGAGAAGGTTAAACCGGGCTGCTCCTTGGAGGTAAGGATTCTGGGGCTTCGTCTGACATACTATGGACACGATGTAAGGAGGGACAGGTCCTTGGAGAGGGACATCATGCTTGGGCGGGTGGAAGAACGGCGCATGAGGGGAAGACCCTCTATGAGGTGGACTGATTCAATGACTGGGGTAATCGGGATGGGTGTGTCAGAGGCAGTGTGACTGGCACAGGTCAGAGCCGGGTTTAGGTCTGTTGTACATAGGGTCACTATGAGTCGCAAGCGACTGGACGGCACATAACAACAGGTGAAAATTACACTAGAAGTGTAAATTTTTCTACTGCTAAGCAGTCAAATGTTGACAGAAAATATAGGCATAGTGATTTTTACTATAATATATGCTACTATTTCCTCCTAAAAGTATTTTAATTTCAAAAAAATACAATTTTCAGAATTAAATGGTGTTTCCCCTAAAAGTACATAGTATTTCTTAACTACCACCAGTTTTCAGATACTCCTGAATAGATCGACATCTAAGGGACAGAAAGCAAATATATCATTCTCAGATTTCAAGCCTAAATAAGAAATTCTAGGGCAGTTAAAGATTAAGTTGCTTTGTAGGAGATTCATTTGTACTGTATCTTCTAGAACTTTTGAGAATGAAAGCTCAGAGCAAAGAAAATCTCATTCAAAGATACAATGTTAATAGTGTTTTGAAGAATAAACGTGATGTCATAATAAAGAGAAATTGGGCAAGCAATGGGAAATCAAGTGAGTCTATTTTAAGAGTGAGCTAAAATTATTTTTTTAAGTGATCTAAATTTTTAAACTTACAGTACTAATCTGCCGAGCACTAGGAGAACATCTTCACATTCAGTAGTTAAATATGGCCGTGCACTGGCAAAACTTTGGATGGCAAGTCGATACACCTCCAGAAGATAAACAATATGTTCTGAAGCATTCTTGTTGCTTGCATATTGCAATAAAGTCTATAAAAGAAAAGACATAATTACTTTAAAAAGTAAAAACAATAGATATAGACATAGATATCATATAGATTTGTCGTTGCTCTCAAATTCTCTGCCCCTGATGGTCCTGCTAACAAATGTAACATCTTTTGATTTTTGTAGGTTCTGGTTGGCATCCTGTTGTTGTGTACCATAGAGTTAAACACCAACCCACAGCTCGACCTCCGACAGGTTTTCTTAGGCAGTTAATCACATAGGAGGAGATTGCCTATCTTTCTCTCACAGAGCAGCTGGTAGCCTTGAACTGCGTGCTTGGGTGATTGCAGCAAAGCTTCTTGCCACTACGCAACCAGGATTCTACTTTTATAATTTTAATAAATTGTTCCTGCTGAAGCTTTTTTCTAAAAAGGGCAGAACCGTTTTCTCACATAAGTTTTATGTGTAAAGCTATAAAATGTCAGTGACTGTTCTCACAGTCTAAAATTATCATCTCTAAAATTCAGTAAGTTTTGCCAATACATTTTTTAACTGTACATGAACCATATACATAACTCACTGTATGTATGTAAGAAAAACCTACAAACCTTGCCTTCTACAAGAAAACTTATTCCCAAGCAGAGTTCTCAGCTCTACTGCTCATAAAATTCATTCTTCTATGCACACACTGAACTGACTAGGCTTCCAGGGAATACTTGATGCTAATCAATTTATAAAAAGGTTAATGTTATGACAGGGGAGCTCTGGTGGCCTAGTGGCAAGAAGCTGCGCTGCAATCCCAGAGGTACGTGGTTCAAATGCACAAGATGCTCTGCATCTTAAGCTCAAGGAACTGAAGAACAAATTAAAACCTCGAGTTGCTATAATCGAGGATGCTTTCAGCAGAATGTTAAATGATCCAGGAACTATTAAAAGATGGAAAGAATATACTGAGTCACTGTATCGAAAGGAATTGGCAGACAGAAGAATTTCATGAAATAACATATGAGCAAGAGCCTATGGTGATGAAAGAAAAAGTTCAGGCTGCTTTGAAGGAAATGGCAAAAAATAAGGCTCCAGGAATAGATGGTATACCAATTGACACATTTCAGCTAACAGATGCTACCCTGGATGCGCTCACCAAGTTGTGCCAAGAAATCTGGAAAATAACCACTTGGCCAACTGACTGGAAGAGATCTATATTTGTTCCTAACCCAAAGAAAGATGACACAACAGAGTGTGGAAACTATAGAACAATCTCACTGATTTCACATACAAGCAAGAATTTACTGAAAATTATCCAAAAATGACTGGAACAGCACATCAGCAGAGAACTACCAGAAGTCCAGGCTGGGTTTAGGAGGGATCGTG